GAAAACATAGATCCAATGCATTTAGGGTTGTATGTGCACGATAGGATGTTGTAGTATACAAAACCCAACAAAAACAACACCCAATTAACAATTGGGTTCCAATCCATAACCATAAATCCATACTTGGGGTAAAAAGACCCTTTTACCCCTAACCTAGCTCGGTCCAAGACTAAGGCTCAAACTCACAATCTGAAAGGCCCAAAAGCCAAATAATCAACTAAGGTCCAAATATGGCCCAGTTTTCCAAATTGGCCCTAAACCCCTTACATGGGCCTTACCCTAAAGCCCAACCATTCTTCTTAGTCCAAAACACTTGTACTCAGATGGACCAATAATAACTCAAACACCCAAGCCCAAAAGAAAGCCCAAAATGCAAAATCACATTTGACTGAGTACGCCCCGCGTACTCAATGGGTACGCTATGCGTACACCCAAGAAACCAAGTACACCCCGTGTACGAGGAGGTACGCCCCACGTACTGACCCTGCTCATAACCAACCTAGAAAACGTCTTAATCCATTAAGCCAAGGCGTCCAAAAGCTTATAATAGCTAAATATGAGTGACTTGATCCATAAAGTCGAAGGCTTTAAACCTTTGCATAGCTTAATAAAGCCCAACACCAAAGATGAACTCCACGGTCAAAATCACTCCTAAAATGTCTTAAAAACTTCTTATTACCTTAACACCTTAGTCTAAACTTCCAGATCTAATTCAAAGGGACTTCTTAGGTCATAAAGTTTCTGACTTTATGACTTAGCATGACTTAATGGAACCCAAATCAAAACCCTAAGTCCCAAGATTTACCAAAAGACTTCCAATTCATGCATGGAAGGTTTATACTCATTAAGATCCAAACTTTATGACTCCATAACCCTAACAAGGGCCAAATATGAAGCTAAAAGGTTTTTGAGTAACTTCTACTCACAAGAACCACCACAAAAGGACCAAAATCATAACAAAATGCCACTTAGTTAGATCTACAAGAAAGAGTTGTCAAGGTTGAGACTTTATACCTCCAGAAGTTAGATCTAGTTGAACAAAGCCTGGATCCAGAAGCTCCAAGTCAATCAATGTCTCTTCAAGAACTTCCTTCTTCCTCCTCAAGCACCAAAAAACGCATAAATCACTTTAAATCTCAAGAATCACTCAAATGGGGGCTAAGGGTTGATTTCTAGTGTGTAGGTGGATGGAAGCTGAAGATATTAGGCTTAGGGTATGAGATAAGGAGCTTAAATAGGGTCCAAGACCCTAAAATAGGGTCTGGATCTGATTGGAGTACGCCCAGTGTACTCTGAAGAGCATCCGCGACCATCCTGGACAGTACACCTAGAGTACACCAAGGTACGCCCCGGGTACTGCCCTTTTCACTAGTACGCCCCGCGTACTGCCCTTTTCACTAGTAAGCCCCTCGTACCCTTTGTGTACGCCCCACGTACCCGGCTAAACCTTAAAACCACCAAACTTGCGAAGGCTATAACGTTTTTGTAATAAGTCTGTTTCCCGTGATCCTTATATTGACGAAACGGTAACGAGAAGCCCTACACTTCTATCAACTCATACCAGCCTTTCGACCTTCCAAACGAAAATCCAATTTCCAAAAAACCCCGAACTGACACTTTAGTGAAATACCCCTAGGCTTCAAAGCACAAACCGAACACCCGAATCACTTCAATTAGATCACTCACACCGAATTGGGCCTAGATCTCACTTATTCAAAGGCCCTAAGCCTTATGATGACTGATCTTCGGGTCGCAGCCTCGAATTAGGAATTGATTTGGAATAGGGCGTTACACTCTAGTACATAACAACCCCAAAAAAACGATCAAACATAGATGGTCAACCATTGTTAGGAATCCTATCTATATTGCTTTGCAAGTGATGACCTGAAGAACCGGAACAAATACCTCTACTTAGCGGAATAGTGGTACAATACCAACTATCACAACGTCATTGAAATGACTGCTTTTCACGCCCTTTATGATCAACCTTCGCCAGACTTTCCTCATTGCATTGTAGGTACTTGCAAAGTGGCTTCCATTGACACAACCTTATCAGAGCATCAACGACTTCTTACCCATCTCCAAACCACCTTACAACATACATGGAAAACAATGACATATCAAACAAATAAACACCGTTAAGGCAAGGAGTTCTAAGTGGGTGATCTGGTTCATCCCCGGCTATGAATCTATCGACAGTCATCCGTCGCAAAAACGCACCTCTCACAAACCGTGCAAACATTTTTTTAGGCCTTTCAAAATTCTGGAGCGCATCAGGTAGCATATCACCTAGAATTCCCTTAAGGCTCTAATATTCTCTTTGTTTTTCACATATCTCTGTTACGAGCATGCTTGGGAGACTCTACTCCTTCGCAACTACCGCTTCTAGAGACCTTCATTGAGGATTTACCAGCTCTTGAACCCAAAGCTATTCTTTATCAACGTATCCTCCACACACTCCACAGGCCGCAAGAACAACTTCTTCTCCATTGGAAAGGGTGTGACATCTCAGAAGCAACATTGGAAAATAAGGATGACTTTGATCTCTCCAATTTATCATATGACCTTGATGATAAGTCGATGCTAACGGAGGGGGTATTGATACGGGTATAGCCCATACCTGGCCCAAAAGAACCATAAGGAAGTCGTACCACTATGAAGACTAAACGACCCTTGAAGATCAAGTCTTGTTAACCATCAGTTAGCTGCTGCACGTTAAGTTGAAAATTTCTTATTTCCATGTTTTTAGCTCCACTAGTGTTTCCATGAATAAGTCCATGCACGATTGTTTCACTACTTACTAGAATTGAGAACGCCATTTGACAACCATTAGTCTTTAAATTGTAATTTGCTTTTGGGAATGAATTATCGAAAATCCCTCCGGCTGTGTTTTCTTCTCTGTTAATTATGTGGTGATTGACCCTCTCGAAATATATCGGTCTGATTATTAAACCAATTAGAATTTTGATTTCCAAATTTAGTAAAACTGTATATTTGTAGCATTATGTCCATAAAAACATACATTTGAATGTCTGGAGAAAAAAAAACGCATTCTCTCATAAAGTACACATCGTTTCAAATTATGTTTGACAATGTCGTTTAATGATTGCATTGAAACTAACTCTCTTGCATGGACGGTTTTGCTTGGTGTCCCGGTGTGACACCAGCAACATCTACTTTTCCTGTACGCAGTGGAAAAAATTTTGATTTTTTTTTTGTTTTTTACCTCTTTTTCATGCACCGGCAACACCTCTTCAACCTCGACAACACCTCCTATGTACTCCTGCGTCCGTCCCTGCTCTCTTGTGTCTTAGATGCAGTAAGGGAATACGTGAAGAAGATTAACAATTAACAATTAGTTTAAGTTTTCAGGGGATCAAAAAAATACATTTGAACTGACAATATGTAAGACATACAATACGAATAACTTGGTTATAATTAAATATTGTTAGATGAAATAAAACCATGATATAGATGATAGGTTTAGTTTTTTTTTTCTAATGTTTGTTTTGAAATATCTATATTTAGTTATATTTTCATGTCAAGTAATGTTTTTTTTTTGAAATATTATATGTGATTAAAAAATAATAATAAATCAAATGAGAAAGTTTCATAAAATACTTAAGATAGATCAAATGAGAAAGTTTCATAAAATACTTTAGATAAATGATAAATTAATTAATTTATAAAAAAAATCCTAAAATAGTTAACCTTTGTAGAATGGTTGTGAGAAAGTGAATGAAAAATGACTTAAACTAGAGCATGAATAACACGTAAGGTTTAAAGGGGAATTTAAGAAAAAATCTATTGCTTTATTTCCTCTTTTAGAAATATTGAGATGTCTAATATGTTATAACTAGTTCAAGCTTCTGTTATAAGTAGAGGTGTTCGTTTGGATGGATCGGTTTGGTCCGATCAAATCAAGTGAATCCAAATTGATTTCGGTTTTCAAAACATGAATCCGAATAGTCCAACCTAAATTCAAATCCGATCCGATCCAATCCGATTATAATTCGGTTTGATCGGTTTTTATAATTCGGTTTTCAAAAACCAAATCATTTTAAAACGACATATGATTATAATATTATCCAACTTTACACAAGAAACGAAAACAAATTATTTAGTTGTGATTTGAAATTTTTAAACAACTATTAAAAATATATATTATAGGTAAATATTTTATAGATAGAAAACTTTTGAGGGAAAATTCATATTAATATTTTCTTTATCGGGTGAAACGTTTTGAACCTATTTGAAAAAATAAATTACAAAATTAATAAATAACTATAGATATATATTATAAATAAATAAGTAATAAATATTTATTCGGTTTTTTGAACTATTCGGTTCTTATTTTATAAACCAAAACCAATCCGAAATCCAAAATAATAATTCGGTTTGTTGAAAACCAATCCCAAAATCCGAATATCCGAACCAAATAGTCAAATCCAAATTGTTCAATTGGACAATTCTGTTTTATCCAAATAGTGAACAGCCCTAGCTATAAGGGAGGAGGGAGTCGTTCCCTTCCAACCCACTGAACTCACTGTCACATCAGTTTTTGTCTCTCTTTTTTCTTCATCTTTCCCAACTTACAACACACGACAATCTTATCTTTTTCAACCCATTCAATTAAAAATAATACAAAACAACTAAGTTACAAATCTTAAAACACATGATACAACAGAAAATGAGAGAAAGTAGAGAGAGAGAGAAGATGAAGTGGGTTAGTGAAACCAATTAAACAACCCGCTGAAGAGGGAGTGGTATTCACGGTAACTCTATTGCTAATTAAGATTTTACCTTGATTGTTTGTATTTTTTTTTTAATTGAATGAGTTGAAAAAGTAGGATTTCCGTGTGTTGTGGGTTCAGAAAAAGGAAGAAAAATGAAAGATAAAAACTGTTGTGGTAGTGGTTGGAAGGAAATGACTCCCTCCTCTTAAGACCTAATTGTATTGGATAGACTGTGGTCCACCTTTGATTCGAGTTGGACCTTTGTTAATATGGGTGGAAAAAGTTGGCATCTAAACCTATACAAGCTAAGTTCCACACTGCACAAATGACTAACAACACACTCAATCCTACGCCTAAACAACCAAGCCCAAGGTTAAGCCACCACATTGCGAATTTTGTTGGTGGTCTCTTTATCGCAATCCACATGAGACATGGGTATCCATACGTGACAGGGAGAGCAATACCTCCTATAAGTAGTCCTAGACTCGGCAGAAATGGGAACGCAACTGATATAAAGAAGGTCAAACCTCCAAAAAATATCCGGATTCCTATACGCGTTAACTTTGGGCATTTTTGGCTTTTTCTACTTGCATATGCACGCTCCAAGTTGTCATATACAACCATCCCGTAGATTTGAAAAGCAGCCACACAACTTATGACAACTTGCACGTATAAGAGACCCACCACTGGTTTTAATGTATGGTGGTGAAGGGTGGTTAAAACTGCTGTTAGTAGTCCTCCATTGGCCGGAATCTGGATAATGTTTAGTGTTAAGTACGTTATATTCATGTTAAATTCAAAGATTGTTATTTACAAATAAAAGAAATAATTTAACCTTGTTTCCGAGGGCCCAATATCCAGCAGCTGTAAGAGGGAACAAACACATTGCAATAATGAGATATGAAGCTACCACTCCTTTCAACATGAACTTTGATGATGAGCGATTTGGGGTCGATGGCATTGTACCCTATATATAGGAAGATTAATAGGACCATAAAAAATACTTTTTAAAGGGATGTAGTAAAATAAATATTTTTGATTTTTCATGATGTATCTATGATTACATCATGAAACACTACGACACGATTATTATGGGTTGCAGTGGCTTCAATAGGTCGACAGCATATTTAATAAATTGAAAGACACTATGAGATATACCTGTATCTCTAACACAACATTATGGCCTCTAAACGCTAGGAATATGATCCCAAGTGCATTCATGATATTTCTTATTCGAGCAGTTTCTGATTCGGCAACTTTTGACTGGTCATAAATAACACCGTCTACCCTTCCTTTAGCAACGAAAACTAGCCATAAGACTGTACAATATCCAACAGCCATGATCGATCCAATGAATGAGACAAATGCTAAAGAATTCAAATTTGGGCAAAAGAGGGACACAAGAATTGCCAAACAAATGAAAACCAAGAACAATTCTGTTGTCGTCAAGGGGTATTTGGAAGAGCAATCTTCACACAAGAGTTGATAGAATAGTTTCATGGTTCCACCCCCTGTGATTATGAACATGACGCATGATCCTCCTGAAAGATACATGACTGGGAAAATGGCTAAAACTTTCCCTAATTTAACACCTACAAAAGTCATCCATGAATTGAAATTTAATGATGTTAGTTAACTAAAAAAAACTAACTTTTTCCATTTTAGTTAATTTAAGAAACGGATCTTGTTATCATACCAAAGGCAGCCACTGAAAGTTGAAGATATCGGCTGTAACGTGTACTGGAAGTAGATTCATGAAGATCCACCAACAATAAAATGGTGTAGAACTGCCATACAAAAGCCACAGACAAACACAAAATCCCCCAAAACCTGAAAAAAGAAGATGAGTTAATTAAAGTACGATTAATTAATGGTGAGCACTCACTGGATGGAACATGATATGGCTTTTCATAATCAGATGGCTCCAGTGCATGAAGGACTAAATATGACAACTTTCACTTTTGTAGAGCTTTAATAAATTCAAAATGTTCTAGTGGGCTTACGCTAAATTCAGCATAACTGTATAATTACTAAAAGTGGTAATAACTAAGAACAGATAAATAATTAAGTAATGTCGGCTTAGAACTGATGGAGTACACGAGTATATGCATGGCGGATTACCAGCCCATGTACATGAAGGCGAGAGGTAGAGAGAGTGTTTGAATTCCGATTCCAGAGGAAAGCAAATGGAATGTTGCAGTCCATGAATTTCCTTTTCTTGATTCGGTGATCGGAAGCCAATCTTCACGTGGTTGGTTGATTCCTTTCTGGTCTTCTTCAAAATCAGGTTGCTCAGATTCTGGAGGTGTTGAATAGTACTCCAACATGCAGTGACATACGATATCATCGACACTGTTTATATGAATCCTTTTCTCTAAAACAATTTCCTGTTCCTTATGTCTATCCACCATCTCAGTATCCATTTGTGTTTGATCACTTTACTCTTACTTCACTTTAATCGTATTAAAGTCGAGAGAAAGAGATATATTTTTATGGGTGTTAATGAAGAAGCAATGAAGGCAGAGGCCACTTTATAAATCTCATCCGCAAGACTTGATGTGAACTCACAAGTCAGAATTTAAAATAAAATGATCGCGTTAGGAAGGAGAAAGAGGAGTCTTGTAGGGTCATATTAGACTAAAATGGTATGCTGTATCACAATGACTCGAGTATCGTGACGTGAGTATGACTGACGCATAAGCTTACTATATAAAAACAATATAACAAGTTTAAGGAAAAAACTAAAAAGCACACAACTCCACACATATCATGATTCCTTAACATTTTATGAAGGTAACCATTATTCTACGAAGAATATAATCTTTCTATTATAATTAAAAGAACATGAAATATGTTACCATGGGTTGCCGTTGGGTATTCGACGAGTACAAGGACATGGGTGTACTTGCTATTAATAATTTTCATCAGGAATTGTATCAGGTCATATTATAAAAAATTGCATAACGAACTTGATAATACCGATTACCGACATAACCAGTGGATTTGTATGACTTAAAAGGTTTAAAGTAAGTCAAGGACCACATGTTTGTATACGATAAAAGAAAAAAATGACTACCATATTGATCATTTTTTTTCCACTCTCCGTATCCTTCGAAGCACTTTCATACAGAAATGAAAGAGCCAAAATCAGTGGCGATTCTTTAAGCAATCTCTATTTTCCACAAAAACTTATATATATATATATATATATATATATATATATATATATATATATATATATATATATATATATTATAAATTCAACGTGATTAAGATAATTTAAAACAAACTAAACTAACAACATAAATAAAGAAATTTGATGGAGAAGGAGATTTAGAAAAGATATGAGATATTTTATATCTTGTGAAATTGTATCCTCATATCTTTGCTAGAGCATGTTATTTATACTATAAAAATTAGGTATCATATGTCATGTAAATGGTATGATATGATAGCTTTCACTAATTCACCAATTATTGGTGTCATTCACAATAATTTACAACACTCCCCATTGGATGACACCATTTCTGATCTACAGTTCAGTTTTGAAGTATCGCCTCATTAAAAACTTTGCTAAAGAAAACCCAATGGTAAAAAACTTTAGCGAAGGGAAAAATAGTGCAGTGTATAGTTGACCCCCCCCCCCCCCCCCTATTTAGACATTTGTTACATTATATTCTATGCACATGTCGCATTCCACTGTCATGTACATGTTTCCTGAAGGTTGCAGTAGGAAGTGTCTTCGTAAAAATGTCTGCTGCATTGTTGTTGGATTGAACATATTTGATTTCAACTTAATGGTTCTTTATAAGCTCTTCAGTGTACTCAAAAAACTTTGGAGGTATATGTTTTGTCATGTTGCTCTTGATATATCCTTCTTTCATTTGAGTGACACATGCTGAGTTATCTTCATATATTAAAGTTGGATCTATATCTTTTTCAAGTCCACATGAAGTTAAAACTAGTTGTGTCATCGATCTCAACCATGTACATTCTCTACTAACTTCATTTAGTGTAATTACTTCAACATGATTTGAGGTTGTGGCAACAAGTGTTTGCTTTTGAGAACGCCAGGAAATTACAGTACCTCCATTCATGAATACATATCCAATTTGAGATCTAGCTTTATGAGGATCAGACAAATAACATGCATCTGCATAACCAATCAAGCCTTGTTTTCAATTGTTATGATAAAATAATCCTAAATCACTAGTTCCTCGAAGGTAGCGAAAAATATGTTTGATTCCATTCGAATGTCGTTTTGCTGGGGCTGAACTAAATCTTGCTAGCAAGTTTACAGCAAAAGAAATGTTAGGTCTAGTACAATTGGTAAGATACATAAGAGCTCCAATTGCATTAAGGTATGGTACTTCTGGACCAAGGACTTCTTCATTTTCTTCGCATGGACGAAATTGATCCTTTTCAATATTTAATGATCTAACAACCATTGGAGTGCATAAAGGATTAGCATTGTCCATATTGAAATGTCTCAAGACTCTTTCTGTGTAATTTGATTGATGTAAAAGTATTCTGTTAGGCATATGCTCAATCTATAAACCAAGACAATATTTGGTTTTTCCAAGATCTTTCATTTCAAACTCTTTCTTTAAAAGTTCAATAACTTCAAGGATTTCTTTATTCGTTCCAATGATGTTTAAATCATCAACATAGACTGCTATGATCACATACCCAGATGTTGTTTTCTTAATAAATACACATGGACAAATAGTGTTATTTTTATAACCTTTACTTGTCAAATAACCGCTCAAACGATTGTACCACATGCGTCCAGATTGCTTTAACACATACAAAGATCTTTGTAATTTTATAGAATACATTTGTTTGGGTTTTGCACTTAATGCTTCGGGCATTTTAAATCCTTCAGGGATTTTCATATAGATATCACTATCAAGTGATCCATACAAGTAAGCTGTAACAACATCCATAAGATGCATCTCTAAATTTTTAGAGACTGCCAAGCTAATTAAATATCTAAAAGTGGTTACATCCATTACCGGTGAATAAGTTTCCTCATAATCAATTTCAGGTCTTTGAGAGAAACCTTGAGCAAAAAGTCTAGCCTTGTATCTTACAATTTCGTCTTTCTCATTTCTTTTTCGTACGAAGATTCATCTATACCCTAATGGTTTCACAACTCCATGTGTGAGGATAATGGTCCCAAAAACCTTTCTCTTGTTAGAGAATTTAACTCAACTTGCATAGCTTCCTTCCATTTAGCCCAATAATTTATTCTTTGACATTCAATGATAGATTATGGTTCGGGATCATCATTCATAATATCACATGCAACTGAATAAGAAAATATTGTACTTATATTGTCAGTTTCATTTTGGTCACGTATTCTATTTGTTTGACCATAATTTTGTGCATCATCCTCCTTTCCTGGGGGAATTTGAATAATTCGTGTCTCTCTAGGAACACTTTCCTCATGATCCAGTGCAGTTTTTGATCCTCTTCTTTTTCGTGGGTTCTTATCCTTAGAACCAAATGGCCTTCCACGCTTTAGGCGTGTTTTAGACTCTTGAGTGACTTTATCATCATATTGTCCATGTGGAATTTCAATTCGAGCTGGAACATTGACAGCCGATATATATGATTTAGTCACCCTTTTTGTGTCAGTAAATGCATCAGGCAATTGATTTGCCATTTCTTGGAAATGCATTATCTTTTGAACTTCCATGTCACATTGCTTTGTGCAAGGGTCAAGATATGATAAAGAAGGCTCATGCCATGACACATCTTTTTCCAGAATCTTCTTTTCTCCCCCTAATGATGGGAAATTTTCCTCATCAAATTGGCAATCTGTTAGGCGTGCTGTAAAAATCACCTGTTAACCGTTCAATATATCTTATAATAGATAGTAGCTCATAACCATCATATATTCCTAACCTTCTTTGAGGACCCATTTTTGTCCGTTGAGGAGGTGCAATAGGGACATATACTGCACACCCAAAAATTCTCAAATGGGATATATTTGGCTCTTGACCAAAAGGAAGTTGTAGTGGAGAATATACATGATATGAACTCGGTCTCATGTGTATCAATGATCCAGCATGTAAGATTGCATGGCCCTAAACAGATACCGGAAGTTCGGTCCTAATTATCAATTTTCTAGCTACTAGCTGGAGACGTTTAATCAGTGATTCAGCAAAACCATTTTGTGTATGTACATGAGCAACTGGATGCTCAACAACAATTCCTACAGACATACAATAGTCATTAAATGCTTGTGAAGTAAATTCACCAGCATTATCAAGTCTCACTCTTTTGATAGTATAATCAGGGAAAGGTGCCCTTAATTTAATAATTTGGGCAAGAAATTTTGCAAATGCCATATTACGAGTTGATAATAGGCAAACATGAGACCATTTGCTGGATGCATCTATTAAGACCATAAAGTATCTAAATGGTCCAGATGGTGGGTGAATCGGTCCATATATATCACCTTGAATTCTTTCTAGAAATCTAGGTGACTCCCTTTCAACTTTCATTGGAGAATGTTTTATAATTAACTTTCCCATGGAACAAGATGCACATGGTTTTATGTTGTTGGATTGAGGGAACTTTTGGTCCTTAAATGGATGTCATTCGTATTTTCAATTATCCTTCGCATCATTGTTAATCCTGGGTGGCCCAACCTATCATGCCATAAACTGAATGTCCCAGGATCACAATGTTTTCCTTTGATTACCATATTTGAATCAATCATATGTATATATGTATAATACAGACCATAATCAAGTGTTGGTAGTTTTTCAAGCACATGGTTTTTGTCGATAATATACATATATTTCTTATTTTCAATGGTCACAGTTTTTGTATCATATCCTTTGAAATATATGTCGTTGAAAATTAGTAAGTTTCTATTATACTTTGGAGAAAATAAGGCATTTTCTATACAAAAGCTTGTACCATTTGGTAATATAAATTGGGCTTTCCCAGTTCCCTCTATCAAGTCTGCATGACCTGATATTGTATGTATGACTGTTTTTGTTGGTACTAATTTTGAAAAATATTTCTTTGATTTCAGAATAGTATGTGTACTACCACTATCTGCTATACAAAGATCTCCAAACGTTTCTTGATGTTGTGCTCTAGTTGGACTCATATTAAACTTCACATATGAAAGAAATAATAAGCGAATAAACATAATCATAATAATTATTATAAAGAAAGTTCATTTATTGTAGGAAATACATTACATGAGAAACAAATAAAGGAAAACAAGTTTATTAGAACAATAATAGAAATTTTTAGTTTATGTCTTCCATGTCATTGCAGAAATCATCAAAAATTAGCAGAGTGAATTCAACATTATCAACGGGGTTTGCTTCTTTTCCGTTTCCTTTAATGGACTCTTGATAAAGTTGACAAAGATGTGCAGGTGTGCGACAGGTCCTTG